CCCCAAAACCCCAAAACCCCAAAACCCCGACTACATTAATTTGTATCTTAAATTCGGCAAATTATATTAAAATTGAAGCATTAGAATCTAGTTTAATTATTGATTCTTTAATTATTTGATTTATGATATCTCATGTATTCCAAACCCTGAGATTTTCTATTTCAATTGAATCATATTTCTCTTTACACTAGTTTTCGTATTCTTGTCTACTTTTATAATAAGTTTTGTAGACGAAGTTTTTGAATGCCAAATAAGGGCATGTATTCTCTTTAAAATCACAAAAGCCAAGTTCACTAAATAACTAAACTTTATCTATAGATATCTTAATTTCAAAGCATTCTTCCCCTTAGCATTAATCACATTGTGCTTTCTCAGTATTATAATATAGTTCCATAATTACTGAAGTTGTGAAATCCATTTGCCAATAGCCAATTTCCAAGCCAAATGCATTAGCAAAAATTAAAAGGTTTATATCATGAGAAGATTATAGCTCATAGTTAGGAGATGTAATATTTACTAAGCAAGGTTTATAATAATCCCTATTGTTTCTAGGATCAAATTATGACGTAGTCTAAAGGGATAATAAACAGTCTATTTTATTTTGCATTGAAATAGCAATATGCCTGAGATTGACAGCTTGATAATAGTTTCTTGATTTTAAATCAACAGTTGTAAATTAAAACGTAGCAATAATCTTATGAAGTTAGTACCACTCTCTTGGGGTAAATACAGCATAAGCATCTGGCTGACTCTACTTTATCTGAGTAAAATACAAACTTTAATCATAGAGATATCTGAATCCTCTTTGCTAAATTTCCTCTTTAGTTAGATTAGATAGCTTTGATAGTTTATCCACTATTCCTAAATTGATAAAGTAGTCAAATGCCATGTCATTTTACTTAGCATCTGCTGATGGGTTGCTAATATCAATATGCCTCCATTTATTATTTTCACAAGTAAAGAAGTCAAACTTTGCTTTATGCTCAAATTACTCTCCTGCACTTTTCATAAACACTAATCCTTGCAAGTATCTATCTATCATAAATGTGACTCCTTAAACTGTCTCATTTTCATTATAGATTTACTAAAGACTACTATTGGCTCTATCAACAAGAGGTATTTTAAATCTTCCAAACTTCAATTTCCTTTAATGACTCATAGATGTATATGCTGAAGATGAAATATCATTCTTTAAATCCTCATCTGCCAAGCCTTATTACATAGCCTTAAATGTTTAAATAGTTCTTGATCTGGTACTTGAGTATGCATCTATTTAAATATCAAAGTATTCTCTTTGCAAAAGATCGTTATCAATGATCAGTCTTTTTTTCATATTTAATCCCATCAAGTATCCTTATCTCATGCCCATAGGTAGGAGTTCATCTGGACCATTTAAATATTCATTGTTACTTGAAAAATAGTTCGTTAATTATGATTCTCGGTTCCCATGCCTAAAGAGATGAAATACATAAACTAATTTAGATTAGTAGCCAAGTAGAGATAAAGATACAGAAATTAGAATGATAAGGCAGTATTATTATGTAGTTGTCTGAAGAATTAACATTTCTAATAATTTATAGAATTTTCTAACTATATTAAGTACTAAAATTTTACAAAATAAATTCTTTTGGGGTTTTGGGGTTTTGGGG